GATGGAAGGTCAGCTAATACTTGTTGTACTATGGTAGGCAGTTTACGATCAACAGTAACATTCATAGCCAACTTGACACACCCATTTTGTGCTGCTTGAAGACGATGGACGAGAGGTGCCGGTAGTGACGTGATGGCCAAACCATATTCAAGACTGGGGCGAACAAAAGTGCGGTAGGCTCGCAGTGCAGCCCATAGGCCCATCCCGTATCTATGCAAACCCATTTGGCGAAAGGTAGCCATAGAACCTGTTGCCTTTTGTATGCGATCTTGAACCAGCTGGTCTACTTTGTGTAACAAACTACAAGGACAAGAGTTGGGATCTCAATTCCACTGGTTAGTGTGTGCATAAAAGGTAAATAGCGCTTGTTATAGCCCCTTAGGGAGAGTTTCTGCACGATGCTTTTAAGATGGATGTGTAAGTATCCAAACGTAATATGCGCAAATAAGCCCATTGTAGCCATATACTCTTGATAGGAATAACATGATAGAATACCTGTGTACAACGAACAAATACAGTTCAAGACAACCATCCATATTCTCATCTGACACACAATGCGAGCATCTGCATTATTGTAACTGTGAAATACGTTTTACATAGCAAACGACATTGGAAGAGAACAACAGCTGTAGAAAAGCAGAGATCAATAAAGCACCATTATATGTATCATCTTTGGATCATTGATAAACTCTTTCCTTTTGTTAACTGCCCTGACATATTAGCAAATTCTACTTGAGTAATGGGTATGATCTATGTCTGTGTGCATATGCATTGATCTTGCTTGAATGAGGGATGGAAAATGAAAGCCAGTGTCAAGAGATTTAACTGTGTGGACGTGATTGTTGCCTAGCCCCTTTTTCTCGCACAAGTATAATAGTCTTCATCCATATTATCACACAATGCGTACCACAATGAAGCACTTTAATGATATTCTTCAAATGCTCATGATATGCGATAGTAATCTATAACCGAGCGAAGTCCTTTTTGATCCGGTACTCTATTTCTTTCCATAAGTGCACTTGTATGCAACAACCCTTGATTGAAAACTTTTACCTTTGAAGATTGCTCAACTAGATCCTTTGCTTGAGAAAACTATATCTCTATACCATTGATTTTGCGCTGCTGCTGTTTCGTTGTAAGATTCGGAAACATATTTGTATTGTAGACTCTTTCTTGCTTAATACCAATGCCTTGTTCCTGCCATGAATACCGTCCAGCATGTTCAGTCTATTATAAACGCACTGTGAGACAAACCATACTATACATTTTCCCTGTCAACATACCCATTGTAGCAAAGTGAAGATACGATGGATTCCCTTGTGAGCAACTGGCATCTGGCGCTTGTAGAGACGAGAAACAGCAACCTACAACTGAACTTTAGTGTCATAATGCATCAAAACGTGAAGAATAAAACAATTGCAACAATTAAACGTACCTGCTGTGTTGAAATGAAGCTCGAGTCATGGGTAGATCGCGCGCATACTTGTTACAAGAGAAACTCCATTGCAGATTCACCAATTGTGTGACATGGTTAGTCAATGACGCCGTGAATTGAAGGTGATGTAATACTCGATGTTCTGTAGCTTGTAACACAGGTCATCCTACCTTCCTTTGTGAAGGGCGATTTCGTTAATTTAATAGCCAGTGACTATAGAATCAACCTTCCTACTCCGACCAATGGAATTTGTAAATCATGTTGAACTTGAAATTACGGCACTTTGAGCTCCCATTTCGTCATGCAGTGTAAACCACTGTTTATGTCAAGCTTTCCGCTCCATAAAAGTACTCGTTTCATCGCATTTGACTCACCTTCCAAAAATAGAAATTTTTTCGAACGCCAGGGGTTTTTTTAAACCGGTCCAACTGGTTGGTGGTGTGGCGAAATGGACTAACGCGTCGGTTTCCGGAGCCGAAGATTGTGGGTTCGAGTCCCATCACCATCGCTGTGCCATTTTATATTCGCATTCAGTCGAGATCACGTGACTTTGCGCTTTCCTTGTTGAGTGTCGTAGCTTTATGCTCTACAGGCCATTATCGTATCCGTAATCTGTGCTGGTAATCCAATGGCCAGAATATCGAGTAGACTTAGATAGCTTTTTGCTGGAAATAAAAGGGTGGTATCAGTGAGGAAACATGACCATGATACCTCGTTGATACTTCTGTTACACATAGGCAATGCAACGCCGTTGAATCTCCTCCCCCAGTTTATTTTCTCTCCTACATTGCAACACAATGTTCACAACGCGTGCCTGATTCAAGAGCATCCACCATTGATATCCAATAGATTCGTCTCATCTGTACCACATGAAACTTGATCTGTTTTATTTCGAGTTCATGTCAGGAAATGGCGTCCTAATGGAGTGATCGAGTTTATTCAGCACTTGATTGAAGCAGCGTTATGTTCAGCTTTGTCGTTCCGCCATTCCACTATGCGTTGGTGCATGTCAACTCGAGCTAGAGAGTCAACTATACTTTATTTCCCTTGCTTATACAGTATGATTTCCACAGACCGCATCAAAGAGATTAATATAAGGTAACTGATAAAATATATATTCTAAAGAGGATAATCATATGATTTATTTTCTAGCGCAAGTGCGTTTGGTGGTGTGTTGCGTTGTAGTCTAGAATTTAGAGGAAGAATACGTGCTTGCTGTAGTTCAGAATGCAGACTTTGAAGGTTTTCAACAATATCCAACAGTTTATCATCATCAAAGGACAATTGGTCAAAAGTGCGCTTGAACGTGTTGATTGACGGTAGAAGTGACATCATTAGTGTTGTCGGTAGCAGTGGAAGAGCATGGGTCTTGGGGTATCAAGGATGGCAGAGAATTGTTGGATGTGTTGGATCGAGAAGGAACGTTAGAGGAAGCAGAAGCGGAAGGATTGAGATCAATGATGGGTCTTTGTGGTTGGGTCCCAGCGTGTGAGAAGGAACATACGCTTGCATGCTGAAGTTGGATCAAATTGAATGGTTACCTACAATAGATAATTAATATGGATAACATGGATGAGAGTGATGATCAATTTAAAAACATATTCTTATATTCTTTTTGCTTACCATATAATGGACACCGTCAAGTTGTGTACTCTCTTTGACAGGTTCAGCCATGCAACTAAGTTCCCATGTCGGATATCTCATCAGCAATGTCATCAGCCTTTTTCTTTGTCTGAAGCATGTGGCGCTAATAATTTGTTAATGCACCATTGCGAGCTGTACGTTGTTTGACCATGGACACCATATCAAGCTCCATTTCTTCGACAAGAGTATATATAACAAAATCCACATGTCTTGGATATTGGCGCTTCAAGCAAACGGTCTAGAGTTGGTTTTGCCATGAATCGACATAATTGTTTATCAGCATATTTGTGTACAGAGCTGGATAACAACATCTTGCCCATCTGCGATATTTTTCCTCAGGCATCCACTGTTTTTTCGAAATAACCGACAAAGGCTGCTTGACGCTTTGGCCAAGTTTTCTGGAAGCCGTTATATCCCCCTATGGGATGTGGAGTGGTGGTACCCTATGCCAAAGTTCTCACAACTTAGCAACAATGACATGTCTCTTTCTAATCGAATTGTACTGCTTATGGTAGCAGCAAGTGATAGATAGATATAGAAAATACTGTGATAGCAAATAAATGTCATTGTTCGATGATGGATATAACACCTTCTCTATTATGGTTATGCCCGTTATTGGTTTATGCATGAACAATCAATCACACCTAGACCACCCGATTAATCAAATCATGCAACATCCCCGTTATCTTTCTTCGTGAGCACGTATATTCACACGCCACAACGTTCATATAAAGAATGTTGTCGCCTACTTACTCCCACACATCTCTTTCCTCTACTATGATCCTTTGGTTGCTTACTCAAGTTCTGGTGTGTACCATGGTGAACATTATTCCTGTGAATGAAAGCTGCCCTGTATATTGATTGTGCTCATTTCTAGGTTGTTATTGTTATCCTACTCCATTATCATTGTGAACAATACATATTGTGATACATTTTGATACTTTGAATCAGGTAAAAAGCTATTGTCATTTACGTTTGATGGATCATATACTCATCACATGCCTATCTTCTTTTTTTTCGACGTAGCTTCTTACGGTCGATACATTTGAAGAAATTTGTTTCAGCAACAGCATAGTGCATTTGATAAGGTGTGCTTAACCAGATGGTTGGTGTGCAAGTATCTGAGCCAGCCTACCAAATGTTTCAACACCTGATGGCGGCATAAAGACACGACTACCACCCCAGATCCAATGGGGTTAATATGGCGGCATCCCTAGGGTTGATAGTCGAACCAAATTCTGAAAACATCATTGATATCCTCGGTGTGTTGTTCACATCGCCAGCTCATCACTCCTCAGCATACTACGACCGGATGACGTTGACTGAAACGGAAATGTTGGATGTGGTGATAAGTTCCAACCCGAACCTTCACACTTTGCGTTGGCACGATCTGTGCGGGCAAGTGTACGTATCACCATCATGCCACTCGAATTCAACACTTTTGAAACTAGATCTCTATCGCACTGAAGAAAAGAAAGAGATACTGCAGCAGCTACGCTTTCACTCCGGGGATTTGCAAGGTAAACACCGCATATGCATCGATAACACCATCGATCTCCCCTTCTTATTTCCCTCCCTATATAGATTTCATCATGTTTGCCAGAACAAGAGTTGCATATCCGACTCGTAGTGCTCGACTACGTAGGTCTTTACATAGTCCCAGCGGATATTGCCGCTTTCACAAAGTAATAAACCATTGCATATGAGCAGACTTATGTATTGATTGCATTTACATTCATCATAGGGAGCATAAAATCTTGCGAGAGTAAGTGACCGAGATAAGGGATTCGTTATGAGAGGTGGTCCCAATTGTAATGATAAGCACCGCTCTTTCCAACTTTCGTCAATCACGCGTTCTGCCAACTAATGCCAATAACGAGGGGCTCAGACAGCATGCCGGACCTATGGAGAACCTATGAACAACCATAATCGCGCTATGTTGTCACCTACTTTACTCCCACACCTTTCTTTCCTCTACTATAATCTTTTGGCTGCTTACTCAAGCTTTGGTGTGTATCATGGTTTATATTATTCCTGTGAATGAAGTTTTCCTGTGGATTGATTGTGCTCATTTCTAGCTTGTCGTTGTTATCCTACTCCCATTATCATTGTAGACGATACATATGGTGATACGATTTGATCCTTGAAATCAGGTAAAGAGCTATTGTCATTTACGTTTGATGGATCATATACTCATCGCATGCCTATTTTCTTTCTTTCGACGTAGCTTCTGTTGATACATTTGAAGAAATTTGTATCAGCAACAACACAGTCAATTTGATAAGGTGCGCTTAACCAGATGGTTGATGTCCAAGTATCTATCATTGTTTGATTAGTTATGGTTTATCAGTAACTAAGCGTTACTCGACATTACCAGTTGTGCTCGCTATTGTCGTTCATAACACCACTACAGAGTTGACCGACCTCGTTGCAAAGTCAAAGAAGCAACCATTTCTTGTCGAGCCACTCTAAAATGGACAAGCGTCAAGTCGGCGTACTATAGGCAGAAAAAGCAAAACCAATAGTTTTTAAATATATTATCCACTCCATGTATATAAGCTTGTTATCTACAATACCCGCGATACGATTCTACTTTCTCCTTACTTTTATGCTGTAAACGAAACGATGCTAATATCGACTTGTGATGCTTTGGCCCGAACCGTGGATCTGCAGGGTAGCAAACAGTGTCCACTCAAGGGTGGTATCAGTGAGGAAATATGAGCATGGTACCTCGTTTAATTTCCATGATGTGTGCTCAAATAGAGGGTATGGTTACAATGAGAAAACAGCATTTGTGTTGCATATGTAGTCCACTGTTACTGATGCAATACCGATGCAAATCATGGGTTCTAAAAGTCAACTACTGAAATGCATGTGTGCGTGTGTGTGTGTGTGTGCCTTTTTCTAGTCTGTTGCTGCATCCTGAGTTGCCTATTCCAATTCCAAGTCTCGGTGTAATGATAAAGTCAAAAAATTTATTATTGTTTCGGTAGAAGGGATGTTGATCGATTCATGTTATGACCCATCATTCAGTTATGTGTATAATGTGGTAGGGTGGGGGTAGCTTATCTAAAAGAGTAGAAATGTTGATCAAGGTACCATGTAGATTAATCTCGGACTTGGACATGATGAGATTTGATTTGATTTGGCGCCTTTCAAAAGGAGATCGTCAGTGGGGAAGATTTGCTGTATCCTCTCAACTCACGACATGTCTGATTTATCTTCGTTACGGAAACGCATTGACGATCTTGACAACACATTGGTCGATTTGTTGAATGAACGTGCTCAAGTTTCGCTCAACATTGGTGCTGCCAAGCGAAAAGCAACTGACAGGTGAGGAGCAGTCAAGGTCCATTACGCTTACTCGTTTTAACATAAAGTAAAAGTGATACAAAGGAACTCCATGTATATATGCCAGGTCGTGAGAAGGAAGTGTATGCAAAGGTAATTAAACACGGATATGACAAAATGACTTGTTTCCCTGATATTCCTCAACAAAATTAGCTTGAGCGACTCAATCAAGGACCTTTGGCGCATGACTCACTCCATGCTATTTTCCGGGAGGTATGGCAGTATCCGATGTATATGAATTATTCATGTATATCTCATTGCATATGTGTATCAGATCATGTCGGCTTCTATTGCATTGCAAAAAGATGTCTCCATTGCCTATCTGGGACCTCCTGGAACATTTTCGCATCAAGCAGCGTATAAACGATTGGGTGACAGCGTTGCTTACATGCCAGTAAAGCAAATTGCAGGTAAAGAATATGAATCGGTTAACATTGAATAGATACTAAGATTGAATCACCATAGATGTATTTGATGCTGTGGAAAAGAAGAAAGCAACCTATGGCTTGGTAC